TGCAAATCAATAAATGTGATCCACCATATTAATAAAATCAAACACAAGGACCATATGATCATCTCTATTGATGCCGAAAAAGCATTTGATAAAATCCAACACTCATTCATGATAAAGACCCTTTATAAATTAGGTATAGATGGAAAGTATCTCAACATAATCAAAGCCATATATAATAAACCCACTGCCAATATCATCCTGAATGGGGAAAAACTGAAAGCTTTTCCTTTAAGAACAGGAACCAGACAAGGATGCCCACTCTCACCACTCCTATTCAACATAGTATTGGAAGTATTAGCCAGAGCAATCAGAAACGAGAAGGAAATAAAGGGCATCCTGATTGGAAAGGATGAAGTCAAACTGTCCCTGTTTGCAGATGACATGATCCTATATATCGAACAGCCCAAATCATCTATTAAAAAACTCTTAGAGGTGATAAAAGAGTTCAGCACAGTAGCAGGATACAAAATCAACACACAAAAATCAGTAGCATTTCTTTTCACCAATAGTGAACAAGCAGAAAGAGAAATAAGAAAGCCTGCCCATTTACAATAGCCACCAAAAAAATAAAATACTTAGGAATTGAACTAACTAAGGATGTGAAAAATCTCTATAACGAGAACTATAAACCACTCCTGAGAGAAATTAGAGAGGATACAAGAAGATGGAAAGACATCCCATGCTCCTGGATTGGAAGAATCAATATAGTGAAAATGACTATACTACCCAAAGTTATCTACAAATTTAATGCAATCCCCATCAAAATTCCTATGACATTTCTCACAGAAATGGAAAGAACTATACAGTTATTTATCTGGAATAACAAAAGACCACGAATAGCCAAAGCAACGCTGAGCAAAAAAAATAAAGCTGGAGGTATTACTCTACCTGACTTTAAACTATACTACAAAGCTATAGTAACCAAAACAGCATGGTACTGGTATAAAAACAGAGACACTGATCAATGGAATAGAATAGAGCACCCAGAAATCAACCCACGTACTTACTGCCATTTGATCTTCGACAAAGGTATCAAGTCTATTCACTGGGGTCGGGACTCCCTCTTCAGCAAAGGGTGCTGGGATAACTGGTTATCCATTTGCAGGAGATTGAAACTAGACCCATATCTCTCACCATGTACTAAAATCAACTCAAAATGGATCAAGGATTTAAATATACACCCCGCAACAATAAAACTTATTAAAGAAAACATAGGAGAAACCTTTCAGCAAATAGGGCTGGGCACAGACTTCATGAATATGACCCCAAAAGCACGGGCAACCAAAGGAAAAATAAACAAATGGGACTATATCAAACTAAAAAGCTTCTGCACAGCAAAAGAAACAATTAACAGAGCTAAAAGACAGCCAACAGAGTGGGAGAAAATATTTGCAAAATATACATCTGACAAAGGATTAATATCCAGAATATACAAGGAACTCAAACAACTTTACAAGAAAAAAAGTAGCAACCCAATTAAAAAATGGGCAAAAGAGCTAAGTAGGCATTTCTCTATGGAAGATATACAAAGGCCAACAGACATATGAAAAAATGCTCAACATCACTCAGCATGCGGGAAATGCAAATCAAAACTACACTGAGATACCATCTCACCCCAGTTAGGATGGCTAAAATCCAAAAGACTCTGAACGATAAATGCTGGCGAGGTTGCGGAGAAAAAGGAACTCTCATACATTGTTGGTGGGACTGCAAAATGGTGCAGCCTCTGTGGAAAATGGTATAGAGGTTCCTCAAACAGTTGCAGATAGATCTACCATATGACCCAGCTATCCCACTGCTGGGAATATACCCAAAGGAATGGAAATCATCAAGATGAAGGTATACCTGTTCCCCAATGTTCATTGCCGCACTCTTTACAATAGCCAACAGTTGGAACCTGCCCATATGTCCATCATCGGATGAGTGGATACGAAAAATGTGGTTTATCTACACAATGGAATACTACTCAGCTATAAAAACGNGAGGGAGGGAGGTTTCGGTGATGGGCTATAATAATCAACCACATTGTATATTGACAAAATAAAAAAAATAAAAATAAAAAATAAATAAAAAATTAAAAAAAAGAAGTCCTGGCTGACATTTATGAGCAAAGAAAATATAAAAACAAGTTAAATAGGAAAAATATTTGAAATCATATTTTCTTTCAAAAGATAAGTTGAAAACTGATGGCTGCACATGTTTGATGTCTCAAGAGTGGACTTTAGGTTGACTTTTATCATTATCACCTTTTTTGTTGTTGTTCCGATTGAGGAAGTTAATAAGTTTTAAAAAGCTATGATAGTATAGCTAGTCTTCTTCGTGTGTGGCTTATTATGTCTTTAAAGTTTACATTCATTTGCAAATCTCTATTCTAATTTTAAAAGGTAGGAAAGAGATTTCAAATAAATCAGTGATTGAAATATCAGGTCAAAAAGAATACAATAGAAGCACATTAGAATATACCAGATATTAACTCACAAATCAAAATAGTGATTTTGTAGAAGAGTCTGTAAATTCTGAGGAGTGGGAACACACCTGTTTTGTTTATCACTGTATCCCTAGCCTCTATGACAATACCTGGTATGTAATCTGTACTCAATTATTAACTAACAATAATATAATAATACTCTGATATAATAGCTTAGTACAGATGTTAAGCCTGTTTTCTTGTGCCACAGTGATGAATCCCTTGAATATTTTTTTACCTTAAATTTAAGAAATAAAAT